TCCCTACCACGAGAGAACATGAGTACGCAAGTACAGAAAGAAAAAGATGCCAGAATTGGGCCTGCCATACAAAAGTACGTCAGGGTACAATAATGTTTATGCTTACTCAGACACTGCACGGGTTAGTAAAGACATTTCAAAGATTGCTCTCGCTAGAGGATAGCACTCCATGAAGATCCACGGCAGAAATTTCCATATGATGAAACTATACTTTTTGCTGGGACGCCGACTGCCCGTTGTGCACACTGTTTGCCAATAAAACAAAGGATAATCGAGCAAGAAGAGGGTCACAACAGCAACTGTTCGACTCCGCTTGTAATTTGGTGAGAATATGCCACTAATGAGGTCAGTATGAGGGTAAATTTTACCAGATGACAAAGTAATGGAAAGAGCTCCCTATGGCCCAATTCGCCAACCGAAAGCCGACGTAGCATGTTAGAAGTTGAGGGGCAAAAGAGACCGATGTACAGCAGATTAGACAAGGGCATTCCAACCACAGTTTTCACTGAAGGCAAGTAAAGTGCTCCATTTTTTGGTAGTAATAAACGATTTTTATAAGGTGAACAAACATCACAGGTTATCGCTAAGTGGGAGTTCGTGTAAACAGAGAAAATGAGTTCAGTGGGAGAGGAAATAAAACAAATAGCACCGTGCAGTTAACTGCAAACAACTTGGAGTCTCTCAGATGCAGACAGAGCTGCTGAACGAAAGAAGCAAGGACTCTCGCAGCCGAATAACTGGCGAGATGACACAAAAACAGTGCAAAAGGTATGGGAGTATATGACTAGCAAAAAACACTCACCACCAATCCGACTGCCTTTTGCGAGGTAAAGGCAGGCGAAGGCGATAATCCCCGAGGGCACGGGAGTGTTGAGGTTGGGCAGGGAGGAGATAATGCCCAGAGTCAAGGCGCTGTCAGTGTGCCATCGGAGATAATTGGCAATAGCCGCCTCCTGCGCTCCATTCTGGTAACAATTTTGTAGAAGCACACGTCAGAAAATTTTAAAAGTCAGACCCTGAGTACGTTAAAACTAGGACGGTTAAGCAGAGGACTCATTTCTTTTTTTGATATACATTTTTACACACTTTGATCGTAGAATTCAAATTTGGGCTTCAGAGGCGGAATATCCTTCGCTAGCGTTGCAACTGACTATCCAATCTTCTGACACCTACGGTGACTGAAATGGCGAGCCGCTCTTACTATCACCTGGTGCTCAGGTCACTGTGGCGTAAGCGGTACCGGGTAAGTAGACCTTTATGGTTGCAGTCCCGCCCCCGTAAAGTAACGTCATTTGCTACTTTCACCTCCAGTAGAAACTAAAAACTTGGCGCAACAGATAAATTAACAATAAGACGGTCAGTCGTCCTGGGTAGGACACTCAAGCACAGGCAATTTCATATAGAACCAAAGGTGTAAACCTCGCGGCTAATAGATTCGAGGAGACTGCAAACCAGTTGGGAGAGGAAGAGCAAGTAGTTGGCAAAAAGCATGGAGTGAAGATGTTAGCAGCTAACCAAGGTAATAAACAAACCTGCAGGCCTTGCGGTGAACAAAGTCCTACCCAATGATCAAAAGCCGCGAGCATCAAGTTGACAGTGCGACAGGGATCTCAGGCAAATATCTACCTCAATAACAAATGGATGATAGCGCCTCGCTTAATCCGACCTCCCCTTCCCTCCCCTAAAGGCTATTGTTGACGAGATGGAGGAAACTCGTTCACTGCTTTTCCTAAACATGAAACTTGAACCACAATTGAATCTGTATGAAATAAGGCTGCAGTAATATCTCAATCACTAAGCGGCTGAATAACATACACGGAGGTTTGACTGTTAGATGATTTGAAGCATCTTTTCTCAGGTGCAAATTGGAAGATAGCATATACAGCAGAATTTAATGGCACCATAAATTTCACCAGCGCTCACACACCGGCTCCCTGTTTCACACCTCGCCCCCGCCCGCATTTTTGCGTTAACGTTTTTCCCCTATCTCACTGTCTACAATGCTTCACTTACTTACGTTTCTAAGTAGACTAATTAGCCCAATTTACTG